TTGGAGGAAGTATTCTAGCCATGGTCTTAAAAAAATACATTGATTCCATTATCTTATTACTCAGGTCTACATTAGTATAAAGATGACCATCAATGGCTGGCTCATGCTTTCATTTTTTTTTCACAATTCATTATCTTCCTATCATTTCAAAATAATTTATGGTTGGTTTTAAATCACTTTTAGTCAGTGCATGTTTAGAGGGAATATATATGTAAACTGGTTGTAAGGATTAGTTTATACTTCCCAGCTTTTTTATATGTAATACATATTTTATCTCTTAATAGCTTGTAAGTTCATTGAGAGATAGTTCTTGTCTGCTTTTTTTAGTCCCCATAGTTTTTAGCAGAACACATTATGTAATAGGCACAGAAAAATTTGTTTAATGAATGATTCCCTCTTGCAGGGTCACAAATTTGAAAGGCAAGATTGAAAACCGTGCCCCTTTATAGTTGCACAGATTTAAGGAGGCGGACATACATGCTTTAGACAATTACAACTGAAATTACAGACTTATTTTTTAAAAGCCAAGGAAATTAGGTTCATTTTTCCTTAGCTTAAAAAGTTTTTCTCCTTTGATTTTATTAACTCCGATGCTTTGCTGATAGTTCCTGCCTCTGAGACATGAGAAATAGCATGAGACTGTATTAATCAAAATGACCTTACCAGAAATTACCACCTAGCTGGTAAAAAAACAGTACATCTGCCTGAGAGGTTTGACTTGATGCTGATTCTCTCAGGTTTAAAGATAAAGATACATAAACTTGAAGTGAGCCTTTTATCAAAACTGTACATAAAGTCTTTGCTATTGTCTGTACATCATTTATCAGCGCTCTAGATTAACCATGGCTAATTTTTAAATATAATTCCAGTATATCCTTGGTGACTTGAATACTTGGGCTTTTTCTAGTAAGCAAAACATAATTAAAATGATTAACATATTGCTTAATAGTCCATGCAAGTTCCATTGTCAAATAGACAAAGAATTCTTCACTTTTTATAATGTTGGAGGCTATGTGGTATAGCCCTGAATAGCCTTGTAAATTCCTTACAAATCTCTTAACATGTCTAATTCTCTATCTGTGAAGTCAAATCTAAAATCCGAATTCCTGCCTTAAGGACTGCTACTATAACGTGTGCTGTCTCACATCAGGTAAACTGAATTTTCACTCTTCCATTTCTAATTTATAAATAATTCACCAAGAATAGCATTTCGAATTTAGTTCAAAACAACTGAAAATAATGTTGATTTCATAAACTTTTTAAAAAAACACTTGGACATTCATTTCCATTTGAATAGTGATTTTTACATAGTCTTTCAAGTTTCATTGAGTAAATATTATAGTGGACTATAATTACCTAACTTGACATAACTTTTCTGCGTCCTTGTATTTTCAGCATTAAGCTAGTTTATGAAGCAGAACTTAAACTTTGAGGACAGTTTCACTCTTTAGTGAAAAAAGTGCTTTTCTAAAAGTAACTGTATGTAGGAGGTATATTATCCTTTTTCCCTTGGAAAAAATTTAGCTCCAAAAATCTATTTTGTAGAATTTCATATGTAGAAATTTGTATAGAATCACTTCTTTAAAAGGCTTAAGGTGCAAAAATCAGTAAACATAGTATCAGGTGGGTGTTGGAAAGAAAGAATAGGAAGAGATGGGATAAAATGTTAACTAAAATAATGCATCGTCATGAATGCTGCTTTGCTAAGCAATACTTTATATCTTGGTGACCAGGTACGTGAAGGCTTATTTCAGAGCCATGAAGGAAATAAAGCATATATATTTTGTTAATACTTAGAAAATAATAATTTGGATTTGAGAAAGCACTAAGGCTTTCTTATTGAAAGATGCTATAGAATTAGTCACATTCTAGGATGTCTGTCATAAATCATGCAATACGTTTCTATAAATCAATATTTTTTGATTCAATTCTATAAAATATTTTGAGGATAGTATCTCATAGCACAAGTTATACATTTTAAAATAACATTAAAAAGAACATTCAAGTGTACTGGTAATCACAAACACTGAAATAAATCGTAAAATATAAAGATCGAATTTAAAGCAGTTTCTCGAGTTAAGCGCAATAACCAAATCAGGTGTAAACTTTATATAACCTTTAAAACAACATTAAGAAGATTCCTCTTTGCTGGACTGCCTTTTTTTGTAGTAGTGGTTGGGTTATACTGGTATTTATAATTAATACAAAGAATTTATAAAAACAAACAAATTTTCAAGATTTTGTTTATCTTATCAACGATTAAGTCTTAATTCAAATTACAGAGAATTAACTTCATATATAACTTTCTTGCCTTCCTCTAATATCTCGACTAGGGCCGAGGTATCGATTTGTCCTCCAATTAAGAGAGAAAAACCTTATTAGTAACAGCACAAAGAAATCATTTTTGAAAACTATGTTAGAATTTACTTAGCTTAATAAAGATACCAATTTATTTTATCACATCGCCTGTTCTGTTTCTCTAAAAATGTATATAATCCCATTTTGTTAGGGTGTATAAAGTTTTTTTATAGTTGATATGTGTGCTGAATTGAGCGGTGTGTGTGTGTATGTACATATATATACACATACTGACATGTATGTATACACATACAATATTCGAATATGCTGTTTTCCTATCTGGTTTCAGTGAAATTGTTCTGTATTTAATATCAAAACTCTATCATGAGCATCAGAAACCTGGAGCATTGCTAAATTTTCAGTATGATTGCATACATCTCACTTCTGCTAGATTGGACATATGATGAAGGTAAATGACAAGTATTCCAGATTATCAACCCCCAAAAAATTGT